CTATCTATCTATCTATCTATCCATCCATCCTCTATCTATCCATCCTCTATCTATCTATCTATGTTGGTGCGTTGGCGTGAAGGAGGTTGTCTGGAGACAGCTCTTCTCAGGAAGGAGGCTGCTGTGCCTTGAGCTCCCTCGCCAGCCCCCAATAAACAGCCCCCGACCAGACCAGACCAGCCGGCCGGACCCTTGGCCTCCTGCAGACGACGACGACGACGACGACGAGGAGGAGGCAGACACTTGTTCTTCCTTTCTTCTCTCTCTCTCTCTCTCTCTCTTCCTTTGGGAAGGCGCTCGCCTCAAGCCAGGCGCGCATGGGAGCCCAGGCCTCCTCCTCCTCCTCCTCCTCCTCCTGCTGCTGCTGCTGCTGCTGTGTTGTTGTTGTTGTTGTTGTTGTTGCGCGGTGCTTTGTGTGTGTAGAGACAGACACATCACAGAAATAATGCGGGCAGGAAAAGCTCCTCAAGCCCTCTCCTGTATTTACACATGCAAAACAACACACGCACCCAGCAAGGAAGGGGACGACGGACAAAAGAGACCACAGGAAAAGTTTGGAAAAACTCAGATGTCTCAAAAAAAAAAAAAAGAGTGGGGAAACGACGACCTTTTTTAGCCCTGAGGAGACTAGAAAAGAGAAAGACGCCTCCTTTCCAAGAGTGGTTCTTCGGTGAAAAAAGGATCCTGTATTAAAATTGGTAAAAAAAGAAAAAGATGGGAGGATCTAGAAGGTGGTGGTGTTTGTGGGGAAAGTCTTTTTGAGTTTGTTTTGGGCAACCTCCCCGGTTTCCATAAGAAAAATAAATGAATCAACGGGGGATGCCATTAGCAAAGCAGCCTTGCCTTCTTCATTATGCAACTTCCTCACTCCAGCGCCCGCTTTCTCTTTTCCTCTTTCTCTTTCGGTCTCTCTCTCTCTCTCTCTCACAACACGGATACACCTTTTATTATTTATTTTTTTTCCATGCAAGTAAGTGCTCTCTCTCTCTTTTTTTCTCTCTGTCGCGCCGCCTTCTCCAGGAATATTTTCTCTTCAGAGAGAAAGTGGAGCTACATTTGAAAATCTTCTGGAGAGGCAAAACTGGGCTGACTGGGGAAAGGGGGCCATTGCAGCTTGGAGCACGGTTTGGATTTGGGCTGGGTTTTGGTTTCTTTTGCGGTGGAATTGGGACCACTTGCTGAAGTTTCATGTGAGGGATCTCTTCAGTCTGTCTCCTTCCCCCCCCCCCCCACCCTTCCTCCCCGTTTTGCCATTTTCTTAATTTTTTAGCAGGGAGAAAGTCACATATCCTGAGTGATCACTGCATTTCTCCAGAAAAGTTTCAAGTGCAGCAAAAAATAAGACTGTGCTCCCAAACTGGCCAAGGGGGGACCCCTACTGGTGGAAAGGAGCTCTCCACTCTGGGGAGGAAAGTTCAGGTTGTGGCCTCTTTCAAGTTTTGCAATACAGAGTTGACCCTCCAAATTTGCGGCTTTGACTTTTGCAGATTTGGTTATTTGAGGTTTTGATTCATATGTTCTCTCTAGGAATCTTTAGGTCCTCCAGCGCAACTCTGCCAGAAGTTGACCATAGAGTTGCACTGGAGGACCTGGATATTCCTAGAGAAAACACATGTCTAGGCATATGTAGGTCCTCCAGCATGATTATGTGGTCAACATCTGGCACATGTTGACCATAGAGTTGCACTGGAGGACCTGGAGATTCCTAGAGAGATGTTTTCCTAAGTAAAAAGAATGGTGTTTCTTTATTTGTGGGTTTTCCACATTCACAGGGGTCCTTCAACCTTAACCCCACCCCAAC